CTCCCCAGCGGCCTGGGGCTCCAGCCCCCTCCCCAGCTTCCTTGCCCTTCTCTGACCCGCACCCAGCCCCTCCATGTCCTTCGGGGAGTGAGGGGCCCAACCCTGAACCCAGCATTTGAGGGGTGGCCTCACCAGTGCCCAGGACAGGGGCATGGTCACTGCCCTGCTCCTGCTGGCCACACTCCTGTCCTGAGTGACCACCATAACAGATGGAGCCCAAAGTCATGGACTAAATGAACAATTTGTGAACTTTTCTGGACACTTTATGGACATTTTACAAGGGTGGTCTATAGACTAAGGGAATGATACCTGTGTGTTATATCAAAGGATGGGTGGTGTGGTGAGGGTGGTAAATGAGTATGTGCTGTACAGCGTGGGACCTGTGCATGACATAAATGGTATGAAACAAGGTGTGGAGAATGTGCTGCTTTTAGCTGGGATAGAATTAATTTTCCTCATAGTAGCTGGTATGGAGTCACGTTTTGGATTTGTAATTGAAACAGTGTCCATAACACAGGGATGTTTTAGTTATTGCTGAGCAGGGCTTACACAGGGTCAAGGCCTTTTCTGCTTCTCACACCACCAGTGAGTGGGCTAGGGGTGCACAAGGAGTGGGGAGGAGACACAGCCAGGACAGCTGACCCAACTGACCCAAGGAATATTCCACACCATATAATGTCATGCTCAGCAATCAAAAACTGGGGGAAGAAGGAAAGGGGAGGACTTTTGGAGTGATGGCTTTTGTCTTCCCAAGTAACCATTACATGTGACAGAGCCCGACTGTCCTGGGGATGGCTTAACACCCACCTGCCAATGGGAAGTGGGCAATTAATTTCTTGTTTTGCTTTGCTTGTGCGCACGGCTTTTGCTTTACCTATTAAACTGTCTTCATCTCAACTCATGAGTTTTCTCACTTCTACAGCAAGAGGCTGTGTGGTATTTAGTCACTGGCCAGAATTAAACCTCAACAGCATTAAAGTTTAAATGTGATTAGTAAGAAAACACATGTATGGGGCTTTCAGGGGACTGCAGTCCCCTACTGAGCAAGAGACTGTCCCCCAGAAGATCATAACGTGGCTCTTTCTCAGGAAGGGCCACTTCTGGCACTCCATAGTCCTGATGTGTATTTTGAAATTCTAGTTTTAATCCCTCCCTCAAATGCAGCAGGGAAGATAGAGGAAGTAGGAGCATAGCCTGTGGCTTCCATGGAAATATGTAGCAGATGGAGTGGGAAATCCAGCGGTCTGGCATTAGGAGATATGTAGAAGAGTAGAGATTTGTTAATTTAGATCAGGTACCCTTACACAAAACTTTTCCCAAGCACTGGGCTTTACAGGTTGCAAACATTATTTCTTCAATCTTTTTTCAACACTGCTAAAAATCAAAATTATGTAGAACTTTATACAAAGCCAGAGTATTGCATGGTGAACAGCATGCTGCTTGAGGAGAAATTTTTGTAACATGCTATCGATTAGGAGAAGATTTTTGTATTTTACTATTGCAAAAATTTTAAGGGAGCCTTGTGTATTGTACAGGAGGAGCAGGGAGTTGGACTTGATCCTTACAGGGCCCTTCCAACTTGAGATATCCTGTGATTCTATGAATGGGATTACAGTGATGATTTCACAGAATGACAGAAAGGCAAGAGTTGGAAAGGACCTTAGGAGATCATCTCGTCCAACCCTCCTGCTAAAGCAGGCTCACCCAGAGCAGGTTGCACAGGACATCATCCAGGTGGGGTTTGAATATCTCCAGAGAAGGAGACTCCACAGCCCCCCTGGGAAGCCTGTTCCAGTCACCCTCCAAGCAAAGCAGTTCTTCCTCTTATTCAACTGGAACATCTTCTGTTGAACAGGGCGACCAGTTTGTGTAGGCTTACCAGGAAAGAGGGGAGCTTTAGAAAGCAGACACAGTCTCCATAGGAGTATAGTGAATGCTTCAACTTTATTGCAAAGTGCAGATATACTTATAGAGCAGATCAGGGTTCACACAGCATAAGCAATAATTTCATAGGTGTAACACACTGTCCATACACTTCTCCTCTAATAGCGATTGGATATATACAGCAAAGCCTCACTCATTGGTTACTTTACCCTACTTGCGGTTACTGTTTCTCTGTTCTAGCAACTAAGCATTTCCCCTTTAAGAGCATTCCAACCCTATCAGAACCTGATGTCCTTGTTCTGCTAGGAATG